ACTCACCGATGATATCAGCTGTTGGTTGCGCAATATATATATATCGCGAATTGGCAAATTTGGAATTCATGGGCAATTGGCTCAGGTCCCAGTGGCTCAGTGCTCTATCGGATGGTCCTAGGTTCTAAACCCGGTGGGTATGTACCATTGAGGAGTCCAGAACTAGTACGAAAGAATAGTCTGGTACTCCTTGGTTTCCCGATGATTCTCTAATTGATGTCAGCTCGTGATCAAATCCCTGCAAACCAACACTAAAAAATAAATCTCGAAAAGACTGAAAAATTCTCTACTGAATAAATGTGATTATTTTCGTCACAACCCTTTTTTCGTATTTTACCTTCAATCACTGCCTATAATCCATCCTATGTGGCTCTTGTATTAACATGTTTCTTCATTGATAAGTCGCTACAGGAGGGAATAACCAATGTTATGCATGTGTAGTCCTCGATGTTGGTACAGACTGAATTCTATTATTTTTAATTTTACAATGTAGTCACCAAGGCAAGTGATTCACTATCACGTTGTATTTGGAGTCGCTGAACTTAGGGTTCCGTGTTTATTGGCAGTTGTTAGTAAGACGAATCATGAAGTAATTTCAATTAGAGAACCATTGAAAACCAACCGAGAGTACTGGCCAATTGTCCCCCCCCCCACTTCTCCTTAGTTTGGCACTCCTCAGCACTACCTACCCATGACCCTACTGGAGATCGAACTCCAGGACCCTCAGATTACAAGACGAGTTCGTTGACCACTCAGCTGCTAGGTTGGACGAAATCCAATTGCCCAGTAATTCAACGGCTCTCTAACTGCAGTCACTGTGTGATATCAAATTTATAATCTCCCGTGATTGGTTTTTGTTGTACTGGACTGAAATATTCGTTCAGCTCATAGCATAGTATGAGCGCTTCGACGATGCTTTGACTTAACTTGGTTTCTGGTATTTAGTAGTGGTAGGACACATTTTTCGTCCTATTTGGGATCCGTTATTAGCTGAATGTACCTGCATGCTCACTGTATTATTATTATTATTGTTTCCTTTAATTCCTAGAGGAACATAGGGCTTCAGCCGTGCGTCTCCATTGCGTTCGGTTCTCTGCTACACTCTTCATCTGGCTCCATGTTTGCCCACACGTTTTCATCTCCTCTTCACATCACCTCCTCCAAGTCACCCCACCTTAGCACTGACGACCAACTCGCCGCTTCCCTTTCGGGTTCCACTCGAGCAATGGCTTGTCTAGTGATGTCACTTGATGCATTGTTTCCTCAGAGTATGGCCAGTCAATCCATCTCGATTTCTTCCTGCCTATTTGTTTGACAACCGGTTCCTGCTGTGTTGGTTCGCTCATTGCCAGAGATGTCTGTTGTTGATCTTTTCTGGCCGACCATCTGATCTTGAGTATTGAGCGAAGACAACTGTTAATGAAGGTCTGTAGTTTGTTTGAGATGCTCTTTATGACGCGCAGTGTAAGTCTCTGATCCGTATGTTAAGTAGCACTGACTTCACATTAGACTTGAAAATCCCGATCTCCACACAGACTTGAGAGTAATGAAAGCTTGTCTTGCTGTTCCGATTCTTGCTTCGATATCATCGTCAGTTCCGTTCGCCTGTAGTTGAAACGATGCTTCCCAGGTAGGTAGGTAAAAGAGGTTGTTTCTTTCAGGTTCCTCCCATTTATTCTGATGGTTGTCTGTTGTTGTTGTTCTCGTCCAAGAATCTTCATCACCTCTGTTTTCTCTATGTTCTCCTGAAGTCCTATCTTTGATGCTTCTTCTGCCAACTTGTTGCTTTTCGCTTGTATATCTTCCAGTTTGTGGGAAATCAGACATATATCATCGGCGAAGTCCAGATCCTCCAAGTTGGTTTTTTTTTTGTGAGTCCATTTTATGCTTGTTTCCTCATTGCCTACTGTTTATCGCATTATCCAATCTACTGCAATCAGGAAAATCATTGGCGATAGTAGGCAGCCAGCTTGTCTTACTCCTGTCCTCACTTCAAAGGATTCCGTAAGTTTCCCGTTGTGGATTACTTGGCAGCATGATCACTGAGCTAGCGGTATTCCCTACTTACATTCGAATCCAGTACCTATCGTTTCAAGCACCAAATAAATTCTATGTCTCTCATCAACGTGGTAAATAAAAAATAAATTACTTGACAGTCGACCATTTTTACATTGATAGAATGTATTACAGAAATAAAAACGTAGCTTGGATGAACACACACTCGCCTGTGCATTCATCTATATACACAAAAACAGTTCGGTTTTCTATTGGTTGTATGTATGTTTGTATGTTAGTTTTTTGGAACAAGGTGAATGAATGGTTGACTGACACTTGCCTAATTGTCATCAATAATATTATAGTAATACCGTAGAGACCAACAATCTCCCTTTTTTTGTGATGTATGTTGTGAACTGTGTGTTTAAAAGTGACACAGTAGATGTTTTGGTGACGTTTACGTTCAAGAAATCAAGAAACTTTATTATTATTTTCGATGTGATGAACAGCTTTTGTTTTCTGAAGATGATTTTTCTATCTATCTATCATCTATCTATCCATCTATGTCTTATCTTTCCTTTTCTGAATTGAAATACTGTTTATTTGGATGCTTGTTTGCCTTGCTTACTTCTGTAGCGTTAGTGTATTTATGCTTTTTCACATACATAATGTAAGTTAACTGATATTCATTTAGTCGACATTTTGTGACACGGTAATGTTGTATATACACCATAGGGAATAGATGTTCTAACTAGAACAAGACAATCGAATTTACTGACTGACTGACTGTATGTACAAGAAATTAAAATGTGATAGCGTCTGTTTTTGTTAACAGAAACTAAAATAATGTTGTTGTTTTTTTTAAAAAAAAATTTGATGAAAAAAAACGGTTTGAAAAGAAGTGTGCAGCACATTACATTAGTATTCTGACACGTGTATCTGCCTGCCTCTGTGCTCCTAACCTCATAAACGGCCTGCTACAGTCAAGTGTGGGTGAGTAGTAGACCTCAGTCTTCCTCTCGCAACTCTCTCTTCTGTGGCCGTGCGTTCATATCTTCTGCTAGCCAAGTAATCTTATTCACAGACCTCATGCGTCTAGGGATGGTGGATGCATCTGCGCCAGCCATTGAGATCGATTTTGAGCCATGTCACCAATTGTTTCCAACCATTGGCTTTTACCGTCCCGAGGACCCCAACCAGTCAGGAAGTCTACACCTTCCTACGTGGCTTAGACTAACTGTTGTGAATTTCATTGACTGGTGCCACCATGTTTTCGTTTGACTGCCGCTAGCTCTTTTCCAGCCTGACCCTATATCAGCTAACATTTCCCGTCGTCGAGGAAGGCGATGACTAGAGATGCATGCGTAACACATGTCCTAACCATCTCAGTCGATGTAATTTCACAGCCTCGTCGATTGATTTCCCCTCCCACCTACCTAGCACTCGACGCCTAACTTCAGTATTGCTCACCTTATTATACCACTTCACGCGGGAGATAGAACGCAGACACCTATGATCGAAGACAGATAGTGTTTTCATGTCTTCCACTCTCAATGGCCAGGTCTCGCTCACAGCCATAAAGGAGGAAGGAGCGGACTGTTTAGCAGTACACACGCCCTTTGGTCGATAGTCGGATATCACGTCTACGCCAGAGACGGCGTAAACTGGGATATGCGAAACTAGCCCTCTGTATTCGTGCTGAGATTTCGTCAAAGATCAACCCGTTGGCACTGACTGATGGTACTTCCCAAGTAAGTGAAGCGGTCAACGTGCTCTACCACTTCACTTCCTATTTCTTATCTAGTGGTCGGTGAAGTCCAATCCTGCAACATTATCTTACATTTTACAGGGGCGAATCGCATGCCAAACATTCGAAGATTGTTGCTCAAGGTGTTCAGTAGACTCTGGATTTTGTCAGCGTCCTCGCCTAGAGGGACTATATCGTCCGCATATTCTAAGTCGACCAGCTTATTCCCTGGTAGCAAGTCAATCCCTGAGTCGCTGAAGTATGTTAGGGTTAAGTCCATTAGTACGTCTATGATGAAGTTGAATAGGAATGGGGATAATGGGCATCCTTGACAACTCGCCGTAAGTCGTCACCTGGCTGCATGAGTACGAGTGGAGTGCCTTAATCAGTGCAATGTATTTTCTCGGCATTCCCTTTACAGCCAAGCATCGCCAGAGAACCTCTCGGTCGACAGAATCGAATGCTGCCTTTAGGTCAAGAAATATAATGATTGTTGGACGCCGGTAGGAATGCCTATGTTCTAGAATCTGTCGAAGGATGAAGATATGATCAATACACCCTCTTCCTGGCCTAAAGCCTGTCTGGTTTTTTCGTGTTTGTGCCTCCCGAGCACCACCAGTTCTATGTGATGATGTCACTCAACGTTCTCCTCAATGTATGTCCAACCCATTTCCTTCTGTATATTTTTCGGGCCCTAAACGGATCGCATTTTTACAGCTTCTGCATTTGTATCAATATCGCTCTTCATACCACCTCTTCAGTACTCTACGCCATTGATCCTATTACACGTTGCACCCAGAACCTCCAGGTTGCTAGACCAACCCATTGACCTTTCTGGATACTGTATTTAAATCCAGCGGCAATTAAATTCTACCAGTTCACAGCATAGAGTCAATGCCTGAGGGCAAGTTTCTGTCTGTCCTCATACCAAACGTGTTAGACCCCGCAGGCCGAAACTTCTTATTGGATTCCAGTCTATTAACTGAATGATCAGTGGAAACGTTTAATAACCTGGAGATTCTATTTTCTATCGCTGATGGGATCGTAACTGAACACCGAAGTGTCCCACACTAGAACGAAGCAGATAGATATCCAATGGTTCTCTCCCTTAGTTGTTGTTGTTGTATTCGACGAAATCTTCCTTGAGGCTTTCTTTTGCCTGTGAAATGCACTCAAAACTAGTGATTTAATGATGCTTAAATAATCATTTCATTATATATACTCTACTCATTTTTTTTCTTGTCGAAATTCTTTATAGATTCGTCATACCAAAACTGGTTATTGTTTAGATTCACTTGGTCATAAAGTCGGTGAATCTGTTGGTATAAGCCGATGTCATGGACAAGGCGGTAATCAAGTATTTGCAATAACTGAAAAAGGTGAAATTCGTGTTTACATAGGCTGTATAGACGGTGGAGATAAAAGGAATACCGGAACTGGAAAGTTAATATTCCATAGGTGTTCAAGTGAGAATATTGGTCAGGTATTTGAAATATCTGGCAAGGTAAGCTTTGTTTGTTTGTATGTATCTCCTTTTCATATTTCATTCCCTACTTTCTGAGTAGAGTATGCAGAGGAGGGGAGGTGGGGGGCTTCAAGGTTTAATGTTTCAGTTACGGTGGTGCTGTTGTTGTTTTTTTTCCTTACAGGGTAGAGTTGCTAGTCTAGCGCCCAACTTTTCTTAGGCTTACTATCTGCTAAGAAACTAAGGGCTCTCGGGACTCTAAGAATCAATGGCTGGAGACAATAGGTGACATGGCTCAAAGTCGTTATCAGTGGCGCAGATGTATTCAGTCTCTGTAATCTTTCATATTCCTTTCTACGATTACTCATTCTGTTTCACTCTTATACTTGTCAAAACTCTATTGATTCTCTTCACTCATTTTCTTATCTACCTTTGTGTGCTATTTGGAACGTGGCAACTCGAACTGCTGCACTTCGGTGCCAAGTTCTATGTTGAATCCAGACAGACAGACAGAGAAGAAACTAGACGAGTTTTCGAAGTTCTCTAACCGGGAGTCGAATTTGAACCACGTGAATGGCTGATTGTTAAGCATTTTACCACCGAACCATGGACATACTCTAAACTAGCTGAATAGGTGGACTTGGAGCTGGAATATTCTACATATTTATGGTGAGAATGGTAGATAGATACCTGTCAAATGATGATGAACTATACACGTTGATACATGGAACGGGTTTCAAAGATATAACTTACTACTGGTTGAAAATTGAATATTGCAAATGATGAATCCGTCCTGAATACTTCATTCAGTCCGTCTATCATGTTTCATCGATAAAAGAACCTGACAACAATCTCCTGTTTGCTTATTTGAGTGTATGTACATCATGTTGAAAACAGCTGCAAGAAACTTGCTTATCGCCTACCTCGTCGAACAGTGAGCGTTAGATGGCATTGAATTGCGTTGGAGAAGAGTTGGAAAGTGGTTGAACCAAAACCTGAAGTCGTAGATGCATGAAGTCTTTGACAATCGACTTGAGCCTAACCAATGTAGTGAGAGATGTAGACTACCTAGTTTGAGTCCTTGAGATGTTAAGAACCAATAACAGGAGACTGTTGGTGATATTGTTCAAAACCTTTCTCAGTGGAACATATGCATTCACTCTTTGTGATTTTCCGTATTCATTATGTCCTCATGTTTTTTCCCCATATTTATGCTCTTTCTCACGTGCATTTCTGCTTACTACAATTGCTTTGGTTCCCTTTTACTTCTCCGTTTTGTCTATTTTTGTGTGCTTTATGAAGTATGGCAAGTTGAACTGGTGCACTTCTGTGCAAAGTTCTATATATTGAAACTTACTGAATCAGTTAGCAAATGCATTTGACTACTGAGTAACCTTTATATCTCGTACCTCTCAGCTCCTTAGCACTGAATGATTAGTAGTACTGCAATTTTCTAGTGTGATCTAAATTAAACAATAGTTAGTTGAAACCCCTGTGTAGTTAAGTATAGGGCACCAGGGATCACTTATCGAATAGCCCCAGCTTTGTATGCTTTTTCAGCTGATACGACCCAAGCGAAATGCTGGGAAGAGGCTATCCCAACGCATGCAGTGTGGGGGCGGGGAGATATTTTCTTGACTCTTCTTTTGTGGTGCAGTGATATCAGAGAGGATAGATGAGGAGTGATTTTGGTGTATCACTGGGCAGTCCGTAACCATTGACGGATGGCAGCCCTAATCCGGCAGTCAATTTCATACAGAGTATTTTTATGGACCACCCGAAGAGTCAAACTATACTTGCAGTCTAGGGATCAGAAATTTTCTCAAAATGTGCATACGCTGCTGTGGCTTCAAAGGAGCAGCTTTGCCGTTGGCTAGGTAATATCTGAGAATCTGTGAGTATTTGCGTGATAACCTTCCCTTAAATTCAAATGAACTGTCGTCAAGATTTGACAGAATAGTTCTGAAATATTTGGGCGCCGAGTGAGAAGTAGACATTTGTAAAAAAATTATATTTGAATTATTTTGCAATCGAATTAAATTAACAAAGAAACTGTGTAATTGGCATAATCATCGTGTTTTCACTCTCTGTTGTCTGCAACAGAATGCATATCTTAAATTCGTAGCTGTCGAGTCACCTGACAACTCCAGTAGGTCGAATAAAGCAGCTCAATCTTCAGAAAGAAGAAGACAAAGCAATAAGTCCGACAGGGTGCTTCTACTAAACTCTAATCCTAAACACCATAATTTTGAAAATACGTCTAATCATAAAATTCTAGATACTAACAGTTTGAACAGAAATGAAGGCGTGATGTTAGCTGATGCATAGGAAATCCTTATTAATAAATATAAATGGATATGTATCACTAATTATTAATACTTGGTCAAAATTCTCGACTGTCCATAACTTCTTATAGAGACGTTAAGAAATGTTTTACAATTGTTTACCCACACACACACATACACACTGTGTTTAAAGTGTCTAACAAAGGTAGACCAATATTTGTAAGTCCGAGGTCAAATTTTGATCACAGCTCATAAACTTTTGTTTATAATACTTGTTGATACTTGTTGAATGACTCATGATTGGACAAAGCTTTTAAAAGCAAGTGATGTTCCTTTTATATATAAACCTCTGTTATGTTAATTTCGATTAATTTCCCTGAAGAAGTTCGGACCAGATTGCCGAACGAAACGTTGGAATTACTCATTTCAATCTCGCTGAGATTTTACAAATATAATTTTTTTACCTTCCCTTAAAGTTAAACGCCCAGATAATAAAATATAGCTGTTACTGTACTTGCTGGGATTAAATTGTTACCAATCTGAAAGAAAGTGGATTTAACTCCCGACTGTAAATCTAGGGTAAGGCTTTTAGAGGTGTTAAGTTGTAAAAATGTCCAGCTTCTTTTGGAGAACTGCAGCATTCGGAGCAAAGATGGTGAGATCGTCAGTCTAGGCGATATAGCTGAGAGTGTCATTCTTCCGTCGAAGGTGTAGTTCTCGTCCATAGAAGCCAATGCCTCATCAACTGACATTATATATATATATATTCCCTTGAAAATTTGAAATTGGATTCATAGGTTCACCTATGAGTGGATAATATATTTGTGAGCGATCCCAAGTCGTGCTCACTTAAAAACTGAATAAACTGACATAAGGTTTCTGATTTTAACATTGAGGGATACTCTGCCTTCATCCCTTTCACTTCAAGTCGAGTATAAAAGGTTTCAAGCTTGAGCTCTGAAGTTTTAGCAGCGGTGTTGTTGTTTTCCTTTACAGGATGGTATTGCTAGTCCCAATTCCAACCTTCCACCCTTTAGGGGGGGGAAAGGAAGGAGGTGGCTTACTGCCAATTCGTAGACTAGACAAAGCTTAGGAGATTTTAATTTCATAATGGCGTCCTAATTGTTGTTGATAAAACTAACTGTGTTGGTTGGTGATGATTTTCATAAAGCAAATCTTCCTTCTGACTATCGCTTGACCGCCGCCTCAACACTAACAAGCTCCCTCAATCCCGTTTTTCTTTTACTGTAGACTTGGTAACAGATCTCAATCTGTTAATTGCATTGCTAAATATGTTACCATCAATGTGAGAGTAGTTAAAGCTTGTCTTGCTTTTTCGATTCTTGCTTTGATATCCTCGTCAGTTCTGACGGCCTGTAGTTGAAACGATGCTTCCCAGGTAGGTAGTTAAAAGAGGTTGTTTCTTTCAGGTTCCTGCCATTGATTCTGGCTGATTGTTGTCTGTTGTTGTTGTTGCTGTTGGTGGTGTTGCCCAGGAATCTTCATCACCTCTGTTTTATATATGTTCACTTGAAGTCCTATCTTCTCTGGATGCTTGTTCTGCCAACTTGTTGCTTTTCGCTTGCATATCTTCCAGTTTGTGGGAAATCAGACATATATCATCGGCGAAGTGTAGATTCTGCAAGTTTTTTGTGTGGGTCCATTTTATACCTGTTTCCTCATTGCCGGCTACTGTCTGTCGCATTATCCAATCTACTGCCATCAGGAAAATCATTGGCGATAGTAGGCAGCCAGCTTGTCTTACCCCTGTCCTCACTTCGAAGGGTTCCGTAAGTTTCCCGTTTTGGATTACTTGGCATGTAGCATTGTCGTACAGCTGTTGGATGAGATGTATAATTGTCAGTGGCACCCCGTAGTATCGAAGTAGTTTCCAAAAGACATCTCGATCGACTCTATCGAAGGCCTTTTCAAAGTCGATGAAGTTGAGATAGAGAGGTGACTGCCATTCCAGGCTTTGTTCAATGATGATCCGTAATGTAGCGATCTGATCAATGCATGACTTGTTTTTCCTGAATCCAGCCTGTTCCTGTCGAAGTTTGTCATCCAGGGCATGTTTGATTCTCTCCGAGATGATGCAGCTTAGTATTTTGCTTGGGATGGACAGGAGCATAATTCCGCGCCAGTTCTTGCATTGACTTAGGTCTCCTTTCTTTGGTAGTTTGAATAAGTATCCTTTCTTCCAATCCTCGGGTACTTTACTTTCTTTCCACAACTTCTCCAGTAGTGGCATCATCAAGTCCGCTGTTGTCTCTGGGTTTATTTTCAATGCTTCTGCTGGGATTCTATCTGGTCCTGCTGCTTTTCCAGCTTTTAGCATCTTGATTGCTTTCAGGACTTCTGATTTCGTCGGGGGGTTGGTGTTCACTGGTAGCTCTGTCTCCGTTGTTGGTATTGTTGGTCGCGTTGTAGGTGGCGGTGGGTTTAGGAGTCTTTTGAAGTGTTCAGCCCAGTGTTTCCTTTGCTCCACTTCTTTGGTGAGTGACTTTCGGTTGTCATCTTTCACCGGCTTGATTTGTGTCAAACATTTGCCCGATGGATGGTATTGCTAGTCCCAATTCCAACCTTTCACTCTTTAGGAGGGGGTAAAGGAAGGGGGTGGCATACTGCCATTTCGTAGACTAGACAAAGCTTAGGAGATTTTAATTTCATAATGGTGTCCTAATTGTTGTTGATAAAACCAACTGTGTTGGTTGGTGATGATTTTCATAAAGCAAAATCTTTCTTCTGACTGTC